GTATACTTGCTGGGAAGCATCATTGAGCTGGTATCTGTACCTCCATTTACACTGCAGAATGAAATCTAAGAAAAAAATAATTGGAATAATTTTCAATTTTTGGCTATCAAAAATAAGATTACAATTTACCTAAACTCAGTTTCCCAGACTTTTACAAAAAATCCGAGTACCAAACACGACCTTAATGTTTTTGCTTTGAATCACTTACCCCATATATCTTATTTAATTATTTATTTGAAAAATCACTTATCCCCTATGATTTTTTCCATCCAAATCATCCTTAGAAACTTAAGAAATTAATATGTACTACATATATTAAAAAGATGCTTATATTTTTTGGTAGCTCATAACTTAAGAACTCCATAGTGAAGCATGCTTGACTTTGAGCAATTCTGAGATGAGTGACCTCCTAGGAAGTTTAACAAGAAGTGTGTGAGTGAGGACAAAACACATTGAAAAGTCTCGTGTTGTTTGTGATAGCGGTGGTTGCGGTCTGGATTGCATCATTTTTGAAGCAAAAATCATTTGATCCAATCCCTTCAGTTTGGATTTTTTTTTAAAATTCGATCTGATCCAATCCAATTTTATTCGTTTTAGATTGGATTGGTTTTCGATTTTCAAAAAGTCTAAAATGTCAGCCATACAAATCACTAGTTATATCAAAATAAAGTCATAAAAAGTTACATACTATTGGACATTTCAAGTCTTTCAAACAATAAAAAACTAAAACAACATAGTTTGCTATCAATAACATCCAAGATCCAAGTCTAAAATATAACAAGATTCCAAGCCACCATCTTTCAAAAATAATAAATACATAATATAATGAATCAATTTTCACCAACCAAACCGAAAATCGATCCAATCCAATTAAAATATGCTGGTTTTTTTTTTGATTTTTTGTTTTTCGGTTTTAAGCTAATTCAGTTATCTGTTTTTCAATTCGGTCACTGCGATTTGGATCGGTTGATGAACACCCCTAGTTTGTGAGGACAATCATTGATCCTGCAAGTGGCGGGAAGTTACATATGTTAAAGGGAAAAGTATTTATCCTACAATAGAAGTGAGAGTTGGGATAATTAATAAAGGATATTTTAGGAATTTTGTTTGTTTCTTTATCATATAAATTTTAGGGAAAACTTCATTTCCACCCATTGTGATTTTGTGATTTATCATTTGACCCCTGTGGTTTTAAACTTATCAGTTAGACCCACTGTGCTAAGATATTTTGTCATTTAACCCCCTATAATTTCAAAATTTTACTTAGACCCCTTGTGGTTACCAAAATTTTCACTTAGATACCTTGTGATTACAAAAATATTCACTTAGACACTTTGTGGTTTAAAAAATAAATATTTTAAATAAATTTTCTCTCTTTATTATTTTATATCCTCATGTAATGCATTTATGGTTTAAAAAATATTTCAAGTTATTTATTCTGAAATTAATTTATAAATTATTTAATTGTTTTAAATATATTTGAAATTAAAAAAATATTTTTTAAGATAAATTAAATATGTATTATCAAAATAAGATATTTACTTTCTTTAGATAATTTTATAATGACATCGGTAAAAAATAGATAAAATAAAATAATATTTGATTTGAAATTATTTTCTTGAAAAAAAAAGTGAATTTTTTAATTTTTAATTTTTAAACCCTAAATGCATTAGATGAGGATATAAAATAAAAAAGAGAGAACATTTATTTTAAATATTTATTTTTTATATTTTTTATTTTTGTAACCACAAGGGGTCTTAGTAAAAAAATTTCTAACCACATGGTATCTAAGTGAAAGTTTGAAACCATGAGGGGTTAAATGATAAATTATTTAAGCACAATGGGTCTAAATGATAAGTTTAAAATCACACGGGGACAAATGATAAATTACAATGAGAGAAAATGAAGTTTTCCCTAGATTTTATCAAAACACCCTTCATTAATTTCTCAAACCCTCAAAATGACACAGTTTTAGGGGGCGTTTGGTTGAGGAATTTTTTTTTGAATACTAGGGAAATGTAATTGATAGGGAAATGGTTGGAAAGTGAGTTTGGTAGGAAAATGTAAAAAGAGTTGTTTGGTTGGAAAAAATTTAACCGGGCAAATTAGGTAAGATTTATAAAGTTTATGTTTGGTTTGAGGTAAAATATAGATGGAGAAATAAGTGGCAATTACGAAAATGTCCCTATTTACATAAATCTACAACTTCACAATTAGTTTTCTAATACAAAATGGAGGGTCACCTTGGTCACAATTTTCACTCTCAGTTTTCTACTTCCCTAGTTTTCCATAAATACCACATCTTAAGAGGTATTCTTAAACAGTGAATTTGAGCACAAAATCAACTGAAATATGGTTTCCTATGCAAACTTCTTTCCTAGACTTTTTTTTCATACACTTGTACCAAACATAGCATTTTGGGATTCCTACCCACACTTCCCCATCTATCCCAAAAGAAAACCTCAACCAAACACACCTTAGGGTTACTAGAGATATTTTTATCTTATGTAATAGGAGAAACGATAAATCCTATGTTAGAAACTTACTACACTTACAGAAAGTACTAAAAGTTAAATAAAAAATAAAAATATAAGAAAAAAGGACCAAATATGTTTAAATTAAAAAGAAGAAAATAGAATGAAGAAAAAAATTAAAAAAAGTAAGACCATATTTGTTGAAAACTTATAATAGTAACAGAAAATACTACAAGTAAAAATATGAAAATAGTCTAAATAAAAAATAAGAAAATAAACCGACAAAAAAAGAATAAGTAAAAATAAGATCAAATATGTCTAAATCAAAAAGAAGAAAACACACTGTGAAAAAAAAATAGATGAAAAAATAAGAAGAAATATGTTAGAAACTTACTAAACTGATTTCATTTTCCTTATTTATTTTAATAGTGATGAAAAAACTAAAAATAGAAGGAAAAAATAGACCAAATATATCTAAGTCAAAAAGAAGAAAATAGACTGAAGACAAAAAAAAGGCACCAAATATGTCAAAACTTACAACATTATTTGTTTTTTAATTTCTTTTTTGTCTTTTTTTTTGCTTTTAATTTTTTCTTTAGTCTATTTTATTCTTTTGATTAAGATTACTTTCAAATTTTTTTACTTTTAATATTTTTTTATCATTTCTGTAAGTTTTCAATATATTTGACATTTTTTTCAATCTATTTTCTTTTTTTTTTTTTTAGATATTTCATTTTTTTTCCTTCTATTTTTTTTTAATTTATGAGTAAGTGTTGTATATTTTGAACATATTTTATCTTATTTTTTTCTTCTTCTTTTTTTATCAGCAATCTATTTTCTTATTTCAAAAAAGGATAAAATAAAGGGTTCGCTTTTTCTGGAGTTATTGTAGATAAGTTATTTACAGTAAGTCTAATACGATGTCATTTTGGGAAGAAATCATGGTATTTTTGTAATTTTAATTTATTTCAGGATTATTATAGTCCTTATAATTATAATTATTTAATTTTTCAATCCCAAAACGATATCGTTTTGAGAGTAAATGCAGATAACTTATCTGCAGTAATGGCAGAAATATTATTCTGTAAAATAAATATAGTAATTAAGTTTCTAACATTAAGTGTATGTTTGGATGCTTTTTTTTTTTTTGGTAATACATAGAGAAAATAAACTAGGCTAAAACAAAACGAGGGAAAGCTACTCCCCTATAATCTTGAAGAAATCTATCTTTGCAACCTACAGGAGGTGTGTTAAAAAACTGAATATCCCAGTTTGCAGAAAAAGCATGCGTAGCTAACCAATCAGCTACACCATTCGCTTCTCTATAAGTATGAGAGACATAAACCTGCCAGCTTCTCCCCAATAATTCCTTGATACGTAAAATCAGTCAATGTAAAGGATGCATCTCAGTATTTTGATTGAAAAATAAATTAATTGCAATTGTAGAGTCACCTTCAAGCCACACCTTTCTATAACCACATTCCCAAGCTATTTGAAGACCCAAATAAGAACCCCAAATCTCAGCAGCAACCGATGAACTATGCCCCAAATTCTTTGAGAAACCAACTAACCAATCACCTCTACAATCTCTTATAACCCCTCCACATCGAGAATGTAGTCCACCTTGAGCACAAGAACCATCTGTATTAATCTTTATCCACCCTTCCAAAGGAAACTTCCAATTAATGAAATTTTGAATCCTACGTGATTGCAACCGAAGACCGCCTTGATTCAGCAGCAATTGAGCTTGGAAGTAATTATCTCTCAAAAGAAAAGCTGAACGAATAATGCTAGAAGGATCAGTCTCCAAATGCTTAAAAATCCATTCATTTCTTGCTTTCCAAATTAACCAGCACATAATACCAAAAAGAGTTGATCAATTCCCAGACACCTGCTCCATGTAATCAGTTGAGAGATTAAAATGTAGCCACTCACCCAAATCTTGCGCAAAGAAGGATTTCCACTTATGATGAGGAATCAGATGACACCATATTTCCCGAACCTTCCAACAATCTCTAACCACATGAATACAATCATTGTGACCATAGATACACCGAGAACACAAACTATTATCAGAAAAGTGACGACGCAAGCGTTGAGCATTAGTCAAAAACAAAAACCAAAAGCTTCTAGAAGTAGCTTTTTTTTAAGCTTTTATTAGCTTTTCTTGAATTATGTGTTTATTCTTTTTTGAAATGAAGAGCTATACACATAGTGAAATTTTTCTTAAAATATATACTTCTAAATAATTTTTAAGCTAAAATTTTTATGTAATCATCAAATAACTTTTAACTTTTTCTTTAACTTTAACAAAAATAACATATAACTTAAAAAAAGATAGAATTCAAACAGGCTCTAGGAACAGGGGATAAGTGATTAAAATTAAAACAATTGGGGTTTTTTCTTTTAAACTTTTCCATGAATATTCGACCCGACCCGACCCTTTTTGAACTTTTTCCAAACATTTGACCCCGACCCGGATTCGAAACCCACACGATATTGAGCTGAGACACACAGTTGTTGAAGGCACATCACATACGCATATAGCATAAGAATCATTCAGCATTCAGCATTCAGCATTAAGGAAATCGAGGAAAGATGACGGAGGCAATGATAAGGAAGAAGGCAGGGATGGCGAGCGTGAAGGACATGCCGGTTCTCCAGGACGGTCCACCTCCTGGTGGGTTCGCTCCGGTCCGGTTCGCTCGCCGCATCCCTAACACCGGTCCAAGCGCCCTCGCCATTTTCCTCACTGCCTTTGGCGCTTTCTCTTGGGGCATGTACCAGGTCGGCCAAGGCAACATGAAGCGAAGGTTCAATCGATTTATTTAATCAATTGCCTCTGTGCTTGAATCGAATCATTGTGTGCTGAAAATCACCAACCTATCATGTTTTTTTTTTTTTTTCACTGTTTTGTTGATGATTTCGATTTTATTCAATTTTTTCCCCCCTGCATTGTGAATATAGAAAATATGAAAAGAATGGACTAGAAATGACGAATTGTTTTCGTGTTTTGATTAAATGGAAAAAAAATATTTGAAAATGAAAACCCTTTTCTATTCAAAAGCTGGTGGACTTAAAATATAATTGGATGAGAAGTGCTTTTTTGCCAATTCGGAATTCTAAAGCTCCTTATAAGGTCAAAGTTTTTGTTTACTCAGTGGGATTGATGCTAATGACTTTTTACAGGTTAGGTGGCCTCACATAGCTCTCTCTCTTCTAATATGTGTGTTGTATTTAGATCTAAATCTGAAACTGTGCCTTTGTTTATTTCTCCATTGCTCAGCTGTGCGATACTGTTGGAATGAACTTTTTGGTATTTTTGGTGATTATTGGGTGTGTCCTAGTTTGTTGGTAAGGAGAAGGAAAATAAAGTCTTGTGGCAATGTTCTGTTTATTGGATTTTGTGGTTGGAAAGGAAAGCCTGCTCCTTCAGGGGTGTTTCCTCACCTCTGAATTTGTTAGGGGATATAATTGTGTTCAGGTTTCTCTTTGCATTTTTGCACATGGTCTTTTTAAGGGTATCAGTTATTTGGATATGCTAAGAGATTGAACAGCTCTCCTACACTGACTAGCTTTTTGTAGTTTCCTCTTCTTCTTTTTTGGTTACAGTTTCCTTTTTTTTTTGTCTCTGTTTTTTGCTCTTTCTTTTGTTGTCTTTGTTGAGGATTTCTTATCGTCCAACCTTTTCTACTTCTATCTCTATCATTCTCTAATAAAATTTCTTCTTTTATTAAGAAAAATAAGTTGTTTTAAAGTCTTCTTTTGCTGATTAATTTATCTATTTTTTTCTGGGGAAGGTGGAGGATGGGGCTTACTTCAGCAAGTTCTAGTTGTTATGTGAACCATGCACATATTTCCTTGAGTTTTCCTTCAATTAGAAGATTTTATATACCAAAATAGTCTATTTCTTCAAAAGAATTGCATTTTGTATTGAAGAGTAATGAAATTCTGTGAGAAACTGATACGAACCCTGGGAGAACTTCACCCCAAAAACTAGCTCAAGAGGTAAGAGAGCCCAAAGTCCATATAGATCCCATATTAATTACCCAAATAACCAATGTGGGACTCCAAGTCCCATATCTTGGAGTAGGATCGTAACATTCCACCACGTGGGCTGGCTTTTGGGCTAGTCTTTTACTAGCCCTGGGCGAACTCTGCAATGCCAGCGTCACCACCCGCGCCGCTCGATTACATCCGGGAGACATAGTAGATGGCTCTGATACCATTTGATAAGAACCTTGTAATGCACCACCCGAAAGCTAGCTCAAACGATGGGAGTGACAAGGCCTTATGAACTCCACATTAGTTGCTCATATAACCAATATGGGACCCCAAGTCCCATACCTTACAAATGGGTCCTAACATTCCACCACCCTTCGCAATCCCGGCGCCCATGCTGGCTGGCTTTGCGCTAGTATTTTTACTAGCCTTGGGCGAACACTGCAATGCCAGCGTCACCACCCGCGCCGCTCGATTGCAACTAAGAGATATAGTGGAAGACTCTGATACCGATTGATACGAACCTCAGTAGAATCTCATCCCAAAAGCTAGCTCAAGAAGCAGGAGAGCCCAAAGTTCATATAAACCCCATATTAGTTATCCATATAACCAATGTGGGATTCCAAGTCCCATTCCTTGGAATAGGATTGTAACAGAAACTCTGAGAAAGTGAGAGAAAATGAGATGAGATAGAACCTGGACTGAACCCATTGTATTCAGATCTGAAAATCTTAGTTACAGAAGAATGCATTACAAGCTCTATTTATAGTGTTGAGAGTGACTCAGAGACGAGCCAGCAAACTAACAGAAAGCTAACCAATCAGCAACTGACTAACAGAAAGAGGGATGCAATAATCTACTGCACTCAGGACTACAATACAGCAGTGTAAACTAAGAATAAGTATGAAACAGAAAGCTACTAACAAAGCTACTGCTATGCTAATAAAGAGTTGCGCATATTTAGAATATTCTAGAATATATTTTTCTGAAATCAATTAGTCATCTAATTGAGGAAGCATTCTTAATTAGTCATCTAATTGATGAAGCAATCTTAGTGCTCCTGATCTTGTTATATTCTTGATTTGTTTCTATATTTAATTAGCATTATTAGGTTTATTGTTGGTGGGTTTGGGCTTGTACTAGTTGTAGTACTAATACTTGATCTAATTATCAATGTAAATAGGACTAGTAGGATTTAGTGTTCTTGTATAACTTTACATCCAATATTCCAATCAATAATATATTCATTATTCAGTGTTATTATTGTTTGCCTATCTTTCTCTCTTTTCCTTTTTCATCCTGTACCTATAATCCTTTAACAACATCTATTCATTCAAACACATCCATGTGCATTTTTAGATCTTAAATATGTAGCATTATCAACTAATTTTGTGAAATTTGTGAATTAAGACTGTGATTCATAAGCGGGGAGAATTTTCACTATTACAGTGATTTGCAAATTTAATTATGGTGATAAACTGTTATTGGGGAACCCACATCTTCGATTTCAAAATGGTTACCTTAGAGTTTGCATTTTCTTTACTGTATTTGAATGAATATTCTGTTAGCTGATGACCGTGGCTTGGTTGTTTCCTTAATTTCCTCTTTGTATTTTCATAATAACCTGGTTATAAAAAGTCTACTCATGCAAAGATACTTTACTTAATTAAAGCAGTTAACAGAAAACGATCAATATTCCATTTGTGATTACAGAAAATAACTTGATAATGGAAAATGTTTTCAGTAGATAGTAGCTTCTTGAATAAAATTTTCAAATAAAATACTTTCCCAAGAAATATTTACAGGTGAAAACATATTATGCAGGAACAAGTGAAAAGTCGATGCCCCTTCCTTCGATGGGTTGTATCAGTTGACCAGGAAAATAGTGTTTATTCTTATTAATCCTATTTCCATAATGAACTAGGTTGAATTAATTTTGAATTTTTCTAGAAAGTAGAAACAAAGCAGCCTATTTGCGAGTTAAGTTTGATAAAATTTGATAATGTAAATTTGTTCATCTCTTCTGTGCTTGTGGGAAAAAGATAAGAAGAAATTGAAATTAGTGCATATTCTTGGTTATTTACTTCCCACCATGACATTCTCAGAGATGTCACTGTTCTCCTTTCTTGCCTTAGTGATTGGTTTTGGGGATGGGTGGTTGTTACTTTGAAAAAACTAATAGGTAGGGAAAAACCAGACCACGTAGGTTTGTTTTCAGTTCCCAGTCCCACTCAAAAATTAAAACTGATGTATCAACATGGCTCATTTCCTACAGGGTACTTAAGGAAGAAAAATATGCTGCCCGCCGGGCCATACTGCCTGTGTTACAAGCTGAAGAGGATGAGAGGTATATGAGATGCTTTCACCAAATTTGTATCGTCATGCAACTTGTTGATGTCATTGTAAAAGTGCTAACCATTTAACATCTCCATTTGTCTGTTTTTTCTTTTCTTTTTCCAGATACGTTAAAGAGTGGCATAAATACCTTGAGTATGAGGCAGAAGTAATGAAGGATGTGCCAGGTTGGAAAGTTGGTGAAAGTGTCTATCACTCTGGGAGATGGGTGCCCCCAGCAAGTGGTGAGTTGCGTCCTGATGTCTGGTGATGTTATTTCAACTATCACAGTCAAGATCTGGTCTGCTTCCTGCATGTCGTTTACATTGCAGTACTTCAGTCTAGTCTCTCAGAAATAAAGTTGTATCTGGAACATTTGTAATTGCTTTGCCGAATTCTAAAACGGGAATGCTTTTTGAATTTGTACTTCATGTTGTCAAAACCCCCTCCCACACTCTCTTTCTCGTGTAAATCAGGATGAATGCACCTTCTTGGCATATAAAATTGTATGCGCTTCAGTAATAAGCTGAGGAAAGAGCACGAAGTCTCAAACTAAAAAATGTGAAGAGGTGAAATGTTTAACATTTGTAACCGGCATCGGTTGTGAGTGTCAGAGGGAGTACACTTGATCTTAGCTCTGATTTTGTCTTTAGGGTGCGGTACTTATTTTGTAGCGGAATAAGGTGGAAACTTAATTGAGGTGAAGGGTTAATTCCAACAATTTTCACACTCACCTTGTCGTAAGCGATTTGGAAAATATTTCTTGTTCTTTGCTTATATTAACTGATTTCAGAAGTCACCTGTGTAAAGTGAACTTGAAATGCCAGAAGATCATATCTTAAATTGCATGTAGTTTGATTTAACACTTCCTTAATCCGCATGTACGTTATTTCCCTTGTCTATTCAAGCCGTTCACGGTGGTAGTCTAGTTTTGTGCCTTTTTTACCCCCCTTTACATGTTGAGTTTCAGTTGTTCCTCTAAGACATCTTCCCATTTTAGGTTTTGTTGCCAACTTTTTTAAAAAAAATAAAAATTTGAGGTTGTTTTTAGCTCCTTTCCGTTCTGTTCTATCTCTCTCCGTGAATTAAGAACTCTTTCTAAAACCCTAACGATTTCTTGTTTTCCCCATCTACCTGTTATTCTGATAATTTGGTTGGGTTGTTCGTGATTGGTTCTTACTGTAATTGATTCCTGTTTCTTCCATTTTGCCACTTCTAGTCGAGTTCTTTCTCTGTAAAACTGTCAACCATTTAAAAGTTTTGTAAGTGGGTCACTTTCTTCACTTGCTCCTCAGCATTTTTTTAATCGTTTGTTTTGGCCTTAAACAAGGCTTCCTTGCTCCTTAAGTGCTGCAGAGTTAAGCAATGAATTGTCCGATTGAAATTCTCCAATTTTGTGAAGATTCCTTTATCATTAATTTAGTTTTTGGTATTATAATATTATCACCGGTCAAAGTATATGCTTTGAGATTTCTTCAAGATAAATAAAACTCCACCTAAAGAGTTGCTTTTAGATTATTTATTAAAAGGGTTTACACACACACACACACACACACACAAAAGTTTGGAATGGTTGCACAAGAAAGCAATCAAAATGCAAAGAGCCATAAAAATTAAAGCAAACCAAGAAGAATGCTCGGATAGTTTCTCATAAAAAATGGGAAATCCTTGCATCTAATTATTAAGCATGTCCCAAACTAATTCGAGAGTTGGAAAGTTGTTAACGTTAGATGTATAAAATGGATGTGATTCCAAGTCACATTCAACCAATTCTTAGATTAAACTATTGGTAACTCAAGACTCAAGAACATGCAATAGTGAGTTTCCAAACACTATGCTTGTGAAGATTATATTTGAGTCTTGGGATTTAATCTGGATTTAACCGCATGGCCAATAAAGAATGAGATAAAAACACACATGCACGTCTTCCTTCAGAGTTCAGACCATGTTTTTCAATATTAGGCAAAAAATTTCATTTAAACTTCAAAAGTCATCTTTATTACTTAAGCTAATTAACTTCTTAAACTAACTGCTGAACTCATTCTTAACATGAAGAAGAAACTTTTTTTGAAATTTAAATTAACATAGTCTTAAGAATATTTTTTAATATAAATACAAGTTCCCGCACAACCAACTGTATAAACGAACACTCAAAAGATTGCTTATGTGCTTAACAAGGTGATTTTGGAAAATGCACTCTGTGTCTGTGTCTTAGGTCAATGCATGAAATTGAGGGAATCATAGCTTTCTTAGAATTCCATTGGGGCGTTTGGTAGAGGAGAAAATTTTTTTTAGCTGGGAATCTCAATTTTCAAAAATATGATTTTTATACTCGATTTATGATAATATTCGTAAATTTAAAATTTAGAAAAATTCAGTTTCCCGGGATTCTTCGCGTACCAAACGTGGTATTCATCTGATTCCCGTGTGATTCTCAATTATGATTTGGACAATCACCTCATCCCAAGAATTAAAACCTTGACAGGGCTCATTGGAGGAGATGAGAATATCACTAGGATAGTGCCTGCGTAAGCTCCCAGAAATCCTGTGCAGTGTCACCAAACCAAAACTCTTTGGAGGGTTTTTCTTCACAAGATTCAATTGCTTGTTGATTCGCCGCGGAGTTTCGCGTGACAAGATTGTTGTTAATCTGCCCAAGGCAATATGTCATAGATCTGTTCATGAGATTGAAAGAATCATGGATTTCTTGAAATCGTTTAATGGTATTCATTTGATTGTAAGACACCCTGCAATTCTTAATCAGCTTATTCCAAGAATCAAGTTCCTAATAGAGCTTAGTGGAGGTAATGAAGATAGCACAAGGAAGCTGCTGCATAAGCTTCCACTAATCTTGAACTTAGTGGAGGGACATACATAGCTCATGAGGTATTTTGTTGGCCTTGATGATAAACAAATTAAAATCAACATCAACATAACATTTATCCCAAACTAGTTGGGATGAATGGTAGATGAACCCAAATGAAAAGTACGGGGTTAGCAAAGAGAAGAAACTAAGTCCTAGAATACAATTTCTCAAGCACTGTGGGTTAGATTCAGCTCATATCTTTTAGGTTCTTGACTAAAGCACCCTTATATCTGGCCAGTCATTTCATAACAACATTGTGTATAAACTTGTTTTTCTGCTTAAGATTGGCTACAAATATGGGAAGAAGGACTTGGCAATGGCAATTGGGTCTACTGCTACTACGAAAAACTGTCAGAATTTGCCAAAGGTGATCAATCTATTCTTGGGTTATGGGTTTTCATGTGAAGACATTCTTGCTATGAGTAAAAAGCGGCCAGAGATACTGCATTGTAATCATATTTATTTGGAGAAGAAGCTGGAGTACTTTATAGAGGGGATTGAGGAGTTTCTGGTTTTTCCTGCATTCCTTTGTTACAACTTGGATGACAGAATTAAGCATAGGTATGATGTAAATAAGAGTATAGGGTGGGAAAAAATGTTTCTCAACAGGCTTCTAGGTGTTTCAAATGAGAGATTCATAGTTGTCACCGATAGGGCTGAAAATGGGCTGGGCTGAGCCAAACTTTGCCCCGAAAAGCTCAAGTCTACGTCAAAAAAATTTCAATTTGGCCTGACCTAAGCCTATTACGAGTCTAACTGTTGGCCCGTTTATAAAAAACCAAATAGCCTGGCCTAGCCCATTAGCCTGTTAATTTTTAACTTCCAAACAGAACCATGAATCAACTTTACAAAATACTCAAATTCTGTTGCTAAACCAAAAATCATAATTTCAATGTCCAAACTGAATCATGAATCACAACAAAATTCACACAAGCTGCATTTAAGTCATTTTCAAAAGCAAAATGCTCAAACTAAATAACAAATATTTCATCAGATCCAACAAACAAATCCATACTATGTAAATTAAAATAATTATATGAATCCAACAACACATCATGATGTTTGTAGTAAGTATAATCTCTTTCAAAAAACCTTTTAATATATTCATATACACAATTTAACATGTTGATATATTGGTTCCTCCTATATAAGAAATAAAGTTAGATTTCTATTAAAATATAATCGAATATAATTAAGATATAAATAATTACAATTGATTAAATTTATATCTTTTGTTTTTTTTTTTAAGCCATACTTATTCTATTTTATTTTATTTAAAATAAATAGTACAATATAGGCCGACATATAGGCTTATAGGCCAGGCCTTGTGAAAGTGGGCTTACGGCCTTTTTAATAAACAAGCTTTTTCAAAGCCCAAGTTCGGCCTATTTTACGAAATATACTAGATCAGGTCTGGCCTGACGTAGGCCGAGCCGTAGGCCCCTGTGGGCCGGCCCGGCCCAGTTTCACCCCTAGTCACCCATACTTAGTATTCAACAATGCATAATTAAGTCAAACACTGAGAATCACCGAACAAAAGCTTCCTCAATATCTTACATAATAAGCTCGTCCATAAAAACTGCTCTGATACCATAAAATGTAACACCATGTTCTAGATTTTGTTAACCTACATTATTGTAATATCCCAGGAAAATAATATTAATTTATAATATAATAAATTAATAATAGTAATAAATTATAAATTAGTAGTAATAATTATAATGTGAGATAAATTGTGATTGAATTATTAATTGATTGATCATTTGTCCATTAATGTTTGATTGATTGATTAGTAATGTGATTGGATTAGGATGAGTTAGCAATCTTAATTTGATTAAATATGATGAGTTAGCATTTAGTCCATAATGAATCAATAATGAGTTAGAGATATTCTGAGCCATAAGAAATTAAGAAAAAGAGAGAGAAAGAAATAGTGTATAAAGCCAATATCTGAGCCAGATACATCAATGAAGAATAAGGAAATAAATGCACGAAACTCATATCCGAGCCCAAAACTTCAACTATAAATAGAGGTCTAGCCTAACCAAACCAATTCACTTCTCAACATTTCTCCTCCACTCTTCTTTTTGGAAATACAATGAAAACTAAAGCAACATAAAAAAAAGCCCTATACTGGGCACAATCTTGGGAGACTAACTCCTCTCAAGTCATTACGAAGCTATTCCAAACAAGCCGTTGGAGGGACATCCAGCACAATCTGTCCATCCTGATGAGGTGCATGAGTAGCAAGCCAATCAGCAACAAAATTGTCTTCTCTATAAGTATGACTAAGTTGAATAATCCAGTCTCTTTGAAGCATGCTACGAGCTCGGATGATTAAAGCAGAAAGAGGATGACTTACGTCACACCCTTTTCTTATAAATTCCAAAGCCACCTTGGAGTCACCCTCCACAAAGACTCTCCTAAATCCCTTATGCCAAGCCAGATCCATACCTGTCAAGAACCCCCAAATTTCCGCTAAAGTAGAAGTACCACTCCGAAGGAATTTTGTAAAACCAGTTAACCAGTTCCCAGCAGCATCCCTTATGACTCCACCACATGCAGTCCTTTGCCCACTATCTATGCTGGAACCATCCACATTAAGTTTAACATACCCCTCAGAGGGAAAATTCCAGTGAATAAGACGTTCCTCTCTTCTAAGCTCCTAATGACCAATCTTAATAAGGGTTTCATTAGCCAATTGAATATTACCACAAGTGTAGGTAATGCGCCTAATGAGACCATACTT